GCAAGCAGAATCTGGAATGATTAAGAGAAGGTGCTTTGTATTCCAATGTGAATCCTTCCTCCTCCTCCTCCTCCTCCTCCTCCTCCTCCTCCCCCCATTGTGGGCAAAGTGTACATTAGAGGTCACACAATCTTTCAATTGCAACCTGCCCCATTTAACAAATCAACAAACCACCAAAATATAAAGCTAAGGAGATAATAGAGTTCTCAGATGAAACCATTTTTGAACACAGGCTTTCTGATATGTTGGCTAAATACCTGTTTCAACTCTCCCACTGACAACCAAGCAGATAGAAAAAAGGGCAGCAATAATACATCCTTTGCTGAGCATTAAGGAATTGTCAAAGAATTGGCAAAGCTTAGGTATCCCATTTCTAATGAATTTGGGTATTGCAGACCTTTTCACCTGATTAGTAGTAAAGCCAATGTGGACTTGAAAATGGAGTTAGTGATTCTTGAAACCAATTTAGGAAACGTTAAAGAACATTCTGTAGAAAATCAGGCTTATCCACTGGGAAATGAAAGGAAGAATAAAATGATTATGTTATCTGTGAGAATAGATCTGTAGCAGGAATGTTGAAGTACATGATATGTTGGTGTTATACTATAGCACAGGTGTCAAACTCGCCGCGTCGCCTGATGTGTCACGATGTATTGTGACTTTTTTTGCATTGCGAGAGCTGGGGTGGGCGCGGCCTCCATAAGATGCAACTGTCCCGCAGGCTGGCAGTTTAACACCCCTGTACTATAGGATCATCACTAAATTTAGGGCTATGATAAGGCATAGAGTTGTACTCAAATTCAGCTGGGGTCAGGTTGACTTTTTTCTTTTGCCCTTTCACAAGTTACCTTTTTTAGTCTTGATAATAACATAGGGTTCCTATTAATTATATTTGATGATATGTAAGAATGACCATAGGAAACAGGAAGAAGAGTCACAGCCTAGACCAGACATGTCAAACTCGCGACATCATGTGATGTCGTGCAACGTATCAGGATGGTTTTGCCATTGCCGGCAATGGGGTTGGCGCAGCTTCCAGATGACGTGTCTGGCCTGCAGGCCACCAGTTTGACACCCCTGGCCTAGACAATGTGCTGATAAACGAAATGTGAATCCAAAGGAGGGCTGGGGATAGAGAAATAATCTCAGGAGGGAACTTCCCTAGTTGTGGAGAGAGCAGAAATAAGGAAAAAGACAGGTACTTTCAGATTTACAAGATCCTGTTATTGTTACTGTAACCTTACAATAAAGATACTATTAGTAGTCCTGGTTGTGCTTCTTGTCTGGATTACCTCAAAGAGCTGACTGACACCATCAGCATGCATGTACTTCATGTGCCTGGGGGAGAGAAGCCATTTGGTTGACAGAATTGAGAGCAAAAGGGTTTCTGTACATGCACATGCTTAGGAATGAGGATAGAAGACCATGTGATTAGTAATATGACAGAATTGATTTAGAGAAGAACAAAGAAGTGATACAGTAAATCCCAGTTTCTCAACACACCCTGCTAGAGAGACGTTCCCTGGGGATGGGCTCCAGCACGAGTCCAAAAACTTGGGAGAGTAAACCTCTGATCCTGGTGACTGATCCAGATCAGATCAATGCAACATTACCCTGGGAAACACATATATTCGCCTTCATTCCCAATTTCTCTATTTATATTTCTCTGCCTCTTACAGTCAGTAAGTTGTTGAGTGCCACTGAACTCCCGCTTCCAACATTAAGAATGTTGTGGATTACAACCCCACTGCTCCATTTTACATTATTGCAACTTCTGAGTTGCCTGCTAGCCTATGGTAATAATCCAAACAAGTTATAAGAGCATGGGCCATTCCGGTCCAGGAAATGTAACAGCTGCTGAATCAGACACAACTGGCTGAATGCTATCTGAGCCACTGGTGCAATCTGTACCTCCAATGATAGAGAGAAATCTGCTTATTTGATTCTATGGGGATACAATCCCATCCTAGTCAACTACTGGGATTTAGCTTCATGTGTACTGGTGGCATCCAATTCCAAACACAAGGATGATGCAAGGATTTGATTGGTGTCTGGATGCTGTAATGGGCTGGATGGATAAGAACCAATAACCTGAAGCTGAATCCCAGTATGAACCATGAACTCAGCAAGCCATGAAGAAATATCCCAGGAAATCGGGAAAATGCAGGCAGAATTGAACAAACTAAACCCTGTTGATGCAGAGGCAGAGGTTGGGTTTTTTTTTAGTTTCACACTGAATAAAATAAAATAAAATAAATTGGCTGAGTTTCTGACTGCCTATTTCAGAATTCCTACCTATTTCCTGTTGCAGCCCAGCAGTAACTTAAAAGATATGGATGTGGACTGATGTGCTTGCCCACAGGCTAAGCCAAGCTGTCTACTGCAGATAAAATCCTACAGCCTTTTTTCAGAAAAAGTGGAAATAAACATAGTCTTAGAAGTAATATCTCTTTTCAGCAAAGGCAGGTTTACTGTCCAAGGCTGTCAATGCACTATTTCATGCAAAATGAGCCAGCAGCCACTGCAATACCATCCCTAACTCATTACCCAGAAATCATTTGGAAATACCCTGAGCATCACAAAAGGTGCTTTATGCAACCATTGCATTGTACAAGAATTATAGATGCTGCTGAGCGGTGTGTTTTTCACTGTCTCTATTTACTAGAGGCAGCCATTATTTCCCCTTTAAAGATAGTGCTCTTATTTGTTTCTTCTTCTGTCTTTTGGGGAGAGTAGCAACAAAATAAAACGTGTCCATTGTATGATGACTGTCCTATTCAAGGTTACAGCTCCTTATACCTTTCTAGCAGCTATCTCATTCCCTCACTGTTCCACCTTCTGCTTTTCAAACTGCCACCTTGTAGTCGTTTTCCTGAATCTTCTGGTTTTGCTTCATTCCCATTGGGATTGCTATATGAGATTCTTATTGGAAAAGAAAACATTTCAGATTTGAGGGGTTTCGCTCCATATAGCATCAAAGAGTCCATAGCTGGGCTCTGCATAATTAAGGAAAACCTGAAAAAGTCCTTGTTACCTGATTTGAATTCAGTGAGGTGGCTGTGTATGAAAAAGTCAGCATCTAGAGAGAATTAGCAGATGGATTAGAGGACATAGGGCATCAAAGGAGTTCCTGGAGATCTATTATGGGATTGGAATGCTTTAGATTTATGCTGTACTTCATTCCAAGTCTAACAACAACAATAATAACAATAACAACAACAATAATAAAAATACAAAGACCTACAAATAGAAATAGAAAGACTGTGGCAAAAGCAAGCAAGGGTAGTACCAATAGTAATAGGCTCCTTGGGTGCAATCCCAAAACAACTGGAGCACCATTTGAACACCACTGGCATTGACAAATTTGCTATTAGTCAATTGCAAAAGGCGGCCTTACTAGGAACTGCTTCCATCCTGCGACGATATCTGTAATACTATCAAACATCCACATCTGCCTATCCCAGGTCCTGGGTAAGGACTCGATAGGTAGACAAAATGCCAAATCCAGTCTGAACATCTGGCTGACTGTGCGATGATTAATAATAATAATAATAAAAATAATAAAAAATTGGAAGGGACCTTGGAGGTCATCTAGTCCAACCCCCTGCTCAGGCAGGAAACGAGGTACTCACTTACCTTTTTCTTGCCTATCTTAACTTGTGTTTCTAATCCGTTTTTTATAGTATTGTTTTTGATAGGTTGGACTGTTTTTTCCCTTTGTGTAAAGACAGATGCAAAAAAACAAGTTAAATAGTTCTGCTTTCTCCCTGTTGCTTGTCACCTCCTTGCCACTTTCCCCCGCTAATGGACCAATCATTTCTTTAACCTTTTTTCTTGTTTTTTTTACACGTTGAAAGAAGCTTTTTTTTGTTGTTATTTTTGACTTTGGTCTCAAGCCTTAGTTCATTTTGAGCCTTAGCTTTCCTCACTTCATCTTTGCAGGCTTGGGCTATTTTTTGATATTCTGCTTTAGTTATGTGCCCCTTGTTCCACTTTTTATATTTGTCCTTTCATCTTAATGTTGAAGTATCTGTAGGTTGGTTGTGCTGGGAATGACTTGAATTCTGGTTGACTTTTATTGTGTTTCCAGTTATATAAACTCATCTTCAAATGGTGGAGGGGGCTTGGAGGCAATTAGATACTGTCACAGCCCCCACTTTTACTATGTGTTTGGGAGATGGCTGGTGGACTGATAGGGAAGATGCCACCTCTGTATTGTCCTTGCCTTCAGTTTTTTAGTTTGTATTTATTGCTGTTAATATTTTAATATTTATTATTTTAATTGTAAGCAGCTCAGGGTTGCTTTGTAGAGTGAGATGGGCAGCATATAAATTCACTCAATAAATAACTAAGGCTAGACAAATGCAAAATATGACCCAGGAGAATTACACTTGCAGAATATTTCATGGAGAAAGAAGTGCAGATTAACTTCCATTTTTTTTTCACAGAGCAATTTAGAGCCCTCTTCCCAGATAAAAAGACCTAGGGACTGAACCTGTGCAATTAATGGGATTCAAATGGATACACCAAGGCACACTTAATGTAAATTTTATCTCTCCATCAACAGGATGATTAAAGCCATCTTCATAATCCCGCAAGCACTCACAGACGGCCAATTGCAGGGAGCCTCTGAAAGGCCAGCTAATAATTGGGAGATGCAATATATTTGCAAAGATTTTAAGCCATAGCTGAAAACAACCTCTTAAAAGACAGGTGCAAAAAGTGGTGATGGATAAACGTAGGCTCAGCTAAGGTTGTTTTTGCTGTTGCTGCTGTTATGCTCAACCCCCATTATGGAAAACCGGTGAGGATAGAGGGATAGTTTTAGTAAGGTTTTGCAAGTGAATCTCATCAAGTCAATGCAGCTGTGGCATTTGGTTGTGCTTCCTAGTCCAGAGGGAAAGCAGAGGCAGCTATTGTTCTGCTTTGTTTCCAGGCAACATATGAAGCTTAGTCTAAAGAACGGCTTGTTGAGATGAGAGCACTGCAGTGTTCTCAGAAGTTGTCACTTTTAATGAGCTCGTCTACTGCTACAAGGAAACTCATTCCTTTTCAATACTTCTCTACAAGCCTTTCATGTTGTCCTGAAAATTGGCACAGTCCATGGATGGTGGGGGTGGGTTGGAGATGTTTGATCCCACTGGCCTGGAACAGGTAAAAGGAAAGTTGGCAGGGGCATGAATGCTCAAAGAATGAATGAATGATGATTTGAAAGACAAATACTGGCAGTCCCTGCTTTAAATGGTAATTGGGACTGGCCATTCCATCACTGAGCGGCATGGTTGTAAAGTGTGACATTGCATGACTGCATCTACTTATGAGGGCAGTTCTCGGCACTTCCAGTTTCAGTCATTCCAGACGTGATGTCATGTGGTTACTAATTGCTGGCTTTCCTATTGACCGCTTGCGGGATGCTGACAGAGAAAGTCATAAATAGTCAGATTATAATTACAAAAATTTTAGAATGTGCAGAAATGGACAGATTAACCTTAGAGATTAAAGAGAAAGAAGACTCAGTTTATTTTAAAACTTGGGAAATTTTTTTATCAATGGTTAACAACACGATCTAGCAAGAAAGATTGTGAAGTTTAGTAGGATGAATGATATCTACTGACTAGCTATTATTTTTATGATTACTGCTATTGTTATTGATTATAGTTATTTACTATTACATTAATTACTGTTATTTAATATTTGTATCTGGATGACAATTTGCTTGCTAAAGTGTGGAATTATTGTTGGGGGACAACCCCATTTTTGTACCTACCCTCACCCTGATCCCACTCCCGAACCTTACCCAATACCCATACTGATCCCATCCTTTCCTCATCCTCATAAAACCTAATAAAATATTTATATAAAAAAAGAGAAAGTCATAAATAGTGATTACATGACCCTGGTAATGTGGAATAATGAACAATCACTAGAATAATGATGTCTGCATAATTACTGAAATAGTGCTGTGTTAGTAGTATGTGACTAACATAATGCGCATTACACTTGGAAACAATGTATGTAGCAAACTCTCCATTGTATACCCGTGAGAAACAAACCTAATGTATTACAATGTGTATTCCTTTGTTCCTGAGAAAAAGAAAGTATAAAACTGAAGTCTGAATCTGCCCTCGGGGTTCAGAATTGCTTGTTGCTATCGCTTCTGAACCTGCACAATAAATCTCTCTGCTAAAACCCTCTGGAATTCGTAAGAGTCCTTTCGTTTTCCACAAGACTGGGACACTGCCACCATTATAATTGCAAGCCAGTTGCCAAGCACCTGAATCATGATCAGGTGACCACAGGGATGCTGTGATGTCCATAGCTACGGGGACTGGTTTTAGGTCTCCTCAATCAGCACTGTCATAACTTTGCATGTTCGTTGAACAAGTGGTAATTCAATGAGAACTACTTCTATGAAGTCAGTACCACCTGCAAATAAATGTAGGACACTACCCTTCTCAAGTATTTGAAAAATGAACCCAAAAAGGTATTAAAAATAAGGTTGGGTGATGGGAGAAACCTATGCTATTGGGTGAAGAATCTCTTTCTTAGAATGAAGTAAAGAATATACTGAAAGCCTCATGAAAATATGGCTAAGTTAGACCATCCTGTAACAATTAACGTTCATCATGACATTAGTGGTCGATCACAAACATAGACTGGGGTACATCACCCTTGAATCTGCTTGGAAATCTGTATGGTTTTTAGTTTTTTTCCAGAGCCTCTGAATCACAGAGCAAGATAGCTGCAATATTTCACTTGGAGGAAAATGTGCCAGAGAGATTACCACCCCACCCATCACATCTGTTAGCCAGGGTTCTTTTAAACATGGGATATAGAACAGGCCTTAATGACCTGGTGCACCCAGCTCAAGCTAAGCCCAGAGTAAAGTGTAGAATACACAAATCAACCATTTCAAATCATGCACCAGGTGGTATTTTCAAAGGGGACATGTCAAAGGTACTTAAAAAAAAGTCTATGGCATTTCTCCAAATATGGGAATATTTTCTAAATTTGAGAGCAATTCTTCTAATCCAGAAATACATATTTTCTATTTTTGGGTGGTGAGAGCTACATTGGAGCTGTGAGTGTTTTACTGAGAAGCAACACTCTTACAAGGAGATGAGGCAGGACAAAAACTGTATTTGATTTAAATTAAATTAATACAATCATTGCATGTATTAAACATTTTTCTCCTTTTAGATAGTTAAAAATTACATATTGGGACATCGTTAGAAAAGGATCGGTGGGGGCATAGCCACAACTTTGGAGGCCTGGGGTTTCAGGTCTTATGTCCTGGTATAAGATGGGTAGATGTGTGAATAATGGCTCTGTCTATATTCTGATGGAAAATAAAGTATTTGGCTTCACCAAAAAGTCAGTGTCCTGACTTTACCATAGATCTGGATAATTTCCCTGATTAATGAGCTGAGCAATTTATTTCCCCTGGTTCTGTAGAGAGAATCAGAGTAAAAGAAAAAACTAGTTTTTTATTTTTCTCCTATATTTTATAGGTTTTGCTTGTGAAAATCGATATGTCACCTGATTATTTTGTACAGAAAATATCGTTTCATCTCTCTCTCTCTCTCTCTCTCTCTCTCTCTCTCTCTCTCTCTCTCTCTCTCTCCACCTAAGAGAGGTAGAAGATGATGCTGGATCTAAGGGAGAAAATACATAATACACAGAAAGAGGGGAAAAATAATCCCCTGCTGCCTAGGGATACCACAGTTCTCATGACTGGCCTGAAAAATTATAGGTGTGTCTTTTCAAAAATCCTGCTGCTAATTAACTTTTGACAAAAATGGATCACATAAATTGTGTTCACAATAAGGTTGACTAGAATGAAGCTGAGACTGCATAGAAGACAATGTGATGGAAAGGTGATTGTCCAGCATCTTTTTGTGTGCATATATATAGTGAGGTGATTCATTTGAGTTTAAAACTTTATGTGTTGTAAAAGGGATTTGTGAAGTCCTATGATATTGACAAATATACTTTTATTCATAAAAAGGTAATGCGACAAAATTGAAGTGTATGAGCTGGGGAGATGATGCAAAGCAAGCCTGAGTCAGGTGTCCCAGGGCCTCCCACTTAAGAATCCACATGATTACTTAATGACCACAATGAAGAAAGCCAGAATTGTGATCATTAAGCAAGTCAATCACATGGATGCCCCACTTAATCACCATTCTGGGCTCATCTGTGGTCGTAAATTGAGGACTACCTGTACTACAGTTTAGAGGTCCCTTGTCCTGTTGCCATAAAACATTAATACTTCAACATTTTTGTACTGGTGACCTAGTTTAATAAACTATGATACTTTTCTCCATTCATAATTCTTAATGATGTTTATCTTTCTCATTTAGTTTTTGCAGGCCCTGCTGATCCTTAGGACCATGTTGCCCTAGTGCAAGAGCAGCCCACAGATCATTTCTTGAGGGCAGGAATGCATAACATCCTCTATCTGCCTTCCAATCAAGCAGGACTTCCACTTCCCACTCGTCATTTTCTGCTAGGTATTCTAAGTAGTTTTTTTCTGACTTGTGCCAGCTCAACAAGTGCTATCTCTGCTTTATTGCAATGCAACCAGATTTCTCTACTTCAATTGGCTAGTGTGAGTTGTGGCTCCTCCTGTTGGTCATTAGTCTCTATCCTCCATGAGCATTTTTGTTAGATGTTCACTCATAGAACAGTGAGAAGCTGGTTGTATAGATTTTGATGGAATTGAGGAGAGCCCATTCTTGTCAGTTGCTATTGCCTTTTTTTTTCTCCTTCCGGGGCCAGTCTTTTCATGGGGAACCCAAAGGTGCTTTTTACAAAAGAGAACTGGACTTTCTTGATTTTTTCTTTTGAAAACGTTTTATTTCTCAACCAAGAAAGTCCAGTTCCCTTTTGGAAATAGCACTTTGGGAAAATCATGACCTGAATGATTGAGAATCTCCATAGAAACTTTTCATGGGGAAGTTACTGCCCTGGTTCCTCCTTCCTCTTTCCCATTGATGGTTTGTTTGAGAGGGTGGATAAAAAACCAGTCACAAGAAGGATGAGCAGCAAGGGGTAGGAGCTGGCAGTAGGACCCCTGTGATATTATGGGCTTCAGCAGTTATCTAATAATGCTGGCCTCAAATATAATCCAGCAATTGTTATATGCCTGCCCTGTTACCATTTTGTCTATCTTCTTTCTTGCTTTTTAGGAAAGTGTTTTCCAGTTTGAAAAAAGATTTGCTGGACTTCGAAAAACTTGCCAGGATTTGTTTTTCCTAGATTGGGCCCAACTGCTTCTCCCACAATTCTTCCAGACCCAAATGCCTAATATTGATTTGACAGAAATATTCTTGGCCTCCTCCAATTCCATGATTAGTTCAAAACATAGATGTGGGCTCTGTGTCTGCCATCTGCTGGTTTTGATAAAAATGGTACAACATGCATTTCCCCCCAAATATTCAAAATTAAAACAAACAACCCTTACACATCATTTGTAATTTTCCACATCATTATAATTTTCATTAACTTCCTATCTTTCCAATGCTTTTTGCAGTATTTTGCCCCTTTCCTGAAAAAAGAAGGAAATAATATAATGTTTTTTGACTGGAGGCAGCAGGTATGCTGCTCCCAGAAGACTAGAAATACCAAATTTGTTGGTAGATTTTTGCCTAACCATTTTTGTCCTTCCCCTTTGTAATTTTCTTAGGCAATTCTTACAAATATATTTGAAATAAATTTCAACACATCATTCTTGGGTTAAAATCAGCCTCAGATTGAAGGCCATTTCTCATTCTCTGTTGTGATCATCCTTTTGATTTTCAAAGTGGGTGTCCTCCTTGATCCACAGCTGAATTTGGAACATCAATTGACGGCTGTGGCTGGGAGGACCTTTGCACAAGTTCGCCTGTTGCACCAGTTGCGACCCTACCTGGACTGGGAGGCTCTCCTTACAGTCACTCACGCCCTTGTCACCTCACGTCTGGACTACTACAACGCGCTCTACATGGGGCTACCCTTGAAAAGTATTCGGAGACTACAGTTGGTCCAGAATGCAGCCGCGCGAGTGATAGTGGGTGCTCCTCGATACACCCACGTTACACCTATCCTCCGTGAGCTGCACTGGTTGCCTATTGGTCTTCAGGTCCAATTCAAGGTGTTGGTCATTACCTTTAAAGCCCTATATGGCTCAGGGCCAGGCTATTTACGAGACTGCCTACTACCTCATAGTTCCCTACTTCCAGTTAGATCCCACAGGCTGGGCCTCCTTCAGGCCCCGTCGGCCAAGTAGTGCCATTTGGCAGGGCCGCGGAGGAGGGCCTTCTCTGTGATGGCGCCCACGCTTTGGAACCAGCTCCCCCCGGAGATTAGGACCGCTCCCACCCTGTTGGTGTTCCGTAAGCTACTTAAGACCTGGCTTTTCCGGCAGGCCTGGGGTTTATAAAACCTGACCCCTGGATGACTGTCTTTGCATTGTTTGTTTTGTTATGTTTTATATGTTTTTTATTGTTAGCCGCCCAGAGTCCTTCGGGAGTGGGGCGGCTTATAAATTTTAAAAATAAAAATAAAATAAAATAAAATAAAATGCTTTGTGGAGCTAAGTTTACAGAAATTTGCTATAGCTTTAAAAGCATTCCAGGAAACTTTTTCTAGAAAAATTACAGCTTCTATAAGATTCGACGTGAAATTAAAAATAACAGCATTCTTTATGATGAAAAAAAACCAATAGGATATGTATCTGCTACCTTGAGCTACTCTACAAATATAGAGACACAAATTTACAAATAATGATGATAATGGCGATGATGCTGATGCTAATGACTATCGTGGTGATGGTGTTAAACATGGAAAAAAAGCAGAATAGAATACCACCATACAAAATAATTTAACTAACAATAATATAGTTAATTATCATAAACAATGTTAATTAATCACTCAATAGCATTCTTCTTACTAATATATATTCAAACTTACATATCACATTCCTTTCTCTCTGACTCATTTTTCTAGCCATTGATAAAAATTATCCCATGTTCTAAAATACACTGAATCTTCTTTCTCTTTAAAGTCAATCTATCCATTTCTGCACACTCTAGAATTTTCTTAATTAGCACTTCTTCAGTTGGTAAGTTTTCATTTTTCCAGTGTTGGGCAATGACTATCGTGGTGGTGTTGAACATGGAAAAGAAAAGCAGAATAGAATACTACCATACAAAATAATGGGGCATTATTGCTAGGTTATGATTAAGAGCAGTTGGACATAAGATGGGGCCATGTTTGCTAGCCATGCTTCTTCTCCAATGTCCCCTTCTGGTTAACATCATGTGATGTGTCGCAATGTATTGCGACTTTTTTTCCCATTGCTGGCAATGAGGTGGGCACGGTTTCGCCCTGACGCATCCGGCCTGTGTGCCGGCAGTTTGACACCCCTGCTCTATACCATTCACTGTCTTAGAGAAGGTTAGTGGGATACATGGAAGCCCAAGATGTGGTAAGGAATTGATCAGAAGAGCATAATGAACAACTAAGGCTACCAAGACAATTATCCCACACTCACCCCCACCAAAATGTTTCCATATCACTGGGAAGATGCTCTTGATATTTTTCTGCTAGAAATGTGTTTATTTCAACATGCTGCTCATTTAATTGTACTATAGCTTGGTCAGTCACTGTGGTAATGAATGACATATAAAGCTGCACTTGTAGATAAAAAGGGTCATTAACTATTTAGAATGCCTCTGACTAGGTAATTCCACAAGGCATGCACAGACCGCAAAATGCTGAAACTATGCAAATCTAAAATTTGCACTGTATCTGAGAAGCTAAAATGAAAGGCAGGGCAGTTTCACCTGATTTGTAAAACTAGGTGCAGTAGCTGAGATGACTTACTAGGCTCACAGTTGCCCTTAATAAAACAAAAGTCACAAAAGAAGCCTGTTTATTATTGATTACCTAATTATTTCAGGATGTTGCTGTTGGAAGTAATTACTGCAAACTTTTCTTTGCCTTCCCTCCTTTCCCCAACTAGTAAATTCTCATTTGGGAGAAAGATAAACCCACCTCACTTGCTGCTGATATGCCTTTTCATACTTCTGAGGAATGCTTTTTTTTTTAATACTAGCAAATGCTTCAGAATGACATTAATGATGTTAGACCGTTAAAGTCTGTCATGCATATAAGCAGCTATTTACTCTATTACAGAATAAACACCAAAGCCAGCTGGGAGCAGAAAACTCCGTGACGGGGAAATCAATAGGGAAGAAGAGATGACTCTTCGGTGAAGCTCCAGGAAAAATACATTTATGCTGCAGTGTTATTAAAAAAAGTGAATAGTCTCTTAATTATTTTACTGAAGTTACACCTTGGGGATGGTTGGTAAAGTAATTTAGATATACTTTGTAGGTTTCCTTGAATCCGTTGGTTTGCAGTGGAGTTAGGTAGATTTTGATAGGTAGGTGGGTAGGCTGACCAATCAATCAGTAGATAGATATTATGAATATACATCAAGAAAAACATTTTTTTACCTTAGAGTGCATGCTTATAAAAGGAGAGAGTAGCATAAAAGATTATTAATAGTTTCAAAAGTAATTGAAGTCTGTTGCTATATGCTATGTTATAAACAGCAATAAATCTGGTGGCCCCTTAAAGACAATGTATTGTATTGTATTAAAGACAATGTAATGTATTGATTACGCATTTGTGCAAGACATTCAATCAGATGCATAGAGTCTTACTATGAGTGAGAATGTACCGCTCACAATATAAGGAGTGCATAAATCTGGTCCTCTTCCAATGTGATATATGCCAACAGCTGCCAGGAATGTACTCCTAATGGAACCAACTAGCCAATCCCAACCAAAAATAATAAATAATAACAAAGCTGACATTGAGAATGATGACAATGTTTTCAAATTGCAATGAAGCACTTTAGCTTCTCAGAGGTTCTTCATATGGTTTTAAAATAATTATCTTTGGGCAAGGAAATACTGTACACAGGCAGCCCTCAACTTATAACCACAATTGGAACTGGAATCTCAGTTGTTGAGTGTTAAGTAGCTGTTAAGATACCAATATGACCACTTCACTTAATGACTGCAACCTGGCTCTCCCTGTTGTGATCGTTAAGTGACCATGCAGGTTATTAAGTGGATGAAGCAAAAGACCTGCCTGATCTGCTTCATGAATAGATGGGAACTCCTGTGGTGGGATGCAGGAACAAAGCTCAGACTTTCTAAATTCAAACTTCATTTCTGCAATCTGCTGCAGGATTTCCCCTCCTCTCCATGCCTACAAAGCTTGGAACCTGAAGATCCAAATCCAGCCAAGAAGTTTCCCTTCCCTCTGTATGTGGAAGGGAACTCCTGTGGTGGGCTGGAGAAACAAAGTTTAGATCTTTGGGATCCAAGCTTTGTTTCTCCAGCCCATCTCAGGAATTCCTCTCCCCTCCATGTGCAGAAGGAAACTCTGGTAGTGGGCCGCAGAAATGAATCTGGGATCTGGAAGAGCCAAGTTTTATTTTCGCATTCCAACAAAGGGTCCCTCCGACTCCTGGATGGAGGGGAGGAAAAATCATTTGGCAGGCAGCAGCAGCTAGCAATCTTCCTTGCTGGCTTCCCCACTGATTTTCTAGAGAAGCCAGAGAAGATTGCAAATCACATGATCATGGGCACTTGGCAACCTGTCATAAATGCGAACAGGTTGCCAAACAGATCACAACCATATGACTGCAGGTGGACCAGCGTGCCATTTTACTATGGTCAGGAGTACTTTATGGAATCGTAAAGCACTCTTCCAAGTCATCATAATTTCAAATCATCATGAAACAACTGGTCATCAATTGAGGACTGACTGCATGTTGGATATTCCAGCTGCATAAGGATTTACATTCATAGATCTGAATATGAATCCTTAGGTAGACATGATATCCAGTGTGTGGATTGCATTTTCAAAAAGAGGAAAAAAAGGATCCTACAGAGCAACAGGCTGACATTGCTCTTATCATTAAGCAAAATGCTTGTTTGAAATGGCAAAGATGGGATGGATAGCATCAATAAAATGCTGGAGAACAAAGCTGGTCCAACAGAATTCTTGTTCTATCACTAGTGTAGAAGATCCATCTAACTTATTTGGTTGGTCTATAAATACGTGGCTCCATGTATTGTATGTGTATTCCCTCCTAAGTTCTACTCTTTCTTTTTGTGGTGCTAGTAGTGGTGGTGGTGGTGGGGAGAATGTGGGAACAACACTGGAATTGTGCTCCCAAGAATGCATATTCCCAGCAGGGTCACCCTGGCATGAAGGTCATCCCAGCTGCCCAGCAAAAGTCAGCAGGCACCTATATTGGGCAGCTGAAGATAGATGAATTCTTTAATGAGAATGACAAAGTATCAATGTATTAACCACTGTTGTATTTTTCTAAGAAAAACCACATGGATTCATAATCAAATTATACTGTACCAGCAAACCTGGTCAATGTCACAGTGGCCAACAAATAAGTCAGTCAACATTCCAGTAACAAAAAAGAAACTTAACAGAGTGTGCAATTTATTGTGTTGTTGTTAATTGCAAAGTCGTGTCCGACCCGTCGCGACCCCATGGACAATGTTCCTCCAGGTCTTCCTGTCCTCTACCATCTTCTGGAGTCCATTTAAATTCACACCTACTGCTTCAGTGACTCCATCCAGCCATCTCATTCTCTGTCGTCCCCTTCTTCTATTGCCCTCAATCTTTCCCAGCATTAGGCTCTTCTCCAGTGAATCCTTCCTTCTCATTAGGTGGCCAAAGTACTTGAGTTTCAACTTCAGGATCTGGCCTTCTAAAGAGCAGTCGGGGTTGATCTCTTCTAGGACTGACCGGTTTGAACGCCTTGCAGTCCAAGGGACTCGCAGGAGTCTTCTCCAGCACCATAGTTCAAAGGCCTCAATTCTTTGGCGCTCAGCCTTTCTTATGGTCCAACTTTCACAGCCATACATTGCAACTGGGAAAACCATGGCCTGGACTATACGCACTTTTGTTGGCAGGGTGATGTCTCTGCTTTTTAGTATGCTGTCTAGATTTGCCATAGCTTTCCTCCCCAGGAGCAAGCGTCTTTTAATTTCTTGGCTGCAGTCCCCATCTGAGGTGATCTTGGAGCCCAGAAAAATAAAATCTGTCACTACCTCCATTTCTTCCCCATCTATTTGCCAGGAATTGAGAGGGCCGGATGCCATGATTTTGGTTTTCTTAATGTTGAGTTTCAAGCCAACTTTTGCACTCTCCTTCTTCACCCGCATCAAGAGGCTCTTTAGTTCCTCTTCACTTTCTGCCATTAGAGTGGTATCATCTGCATATCTTAGGTTGTTGATATTTCTCCCGGCAATCTTAATTCCAACTTTTGATTCATCTAGCCCTGCCTTTCTCATGATGTGCTCTGCATATAAGTTAAATAGGCAGGGTGACAGTATACAGCCTTGCCGGACTCCTTTTCCAATTTTGAACCAATCAGTGGTTCCGTGTTCGGTTCTCACTGTTGCTTCTTGACCCGCATATAGGTTTCTCAGGAGACAAATGAGATGGTCTGGTACTCCCATCTCTTTAAGAACTTGCCACAATTTGTTGTGATCCACACAATCAAAGGCTTTTGCATAGTCAATGAAGCAGAAGTAGATGTTTTTCTGGAACTCCCTAGCTTTCTCCATGATCCAGCGTATGTTGGCAATTTGATCTCTAGTTCCTCTGCCTCTTCGAAATCCTGCCTGTACTTCTGGTAGTTCTCGATCCACATACTGCTGGAGTCTAGCTTGTAGGATTTTAAGCATAACTTTACTAGCATGTGAAATGAGTGCAATGGTGCGATAGTTTGAACATTCTTTGGCATTGCCTTTCTTTGGAATTGGAATGTAAACTGACCTTTTCCAATCCTGTGGCCACTGTTGAGTTTTCCAAATTTGCTGGCAAATTGAGTGTAGTACTTTTACTGCATCGTCTTTTAAGATTTTGAATAGCTCAGCTGGAATACTGTCACCTCCACTAGCTTTGTTGTTGCTCAGATTTTCTAAGGCCCATTTCACTTCACATTCTAGGATGTCTGGTTCGAGGTCAGTGACCATCTCATTGTGGTTATCTGGGATGTTAAGCTCATTCTTGTATAGTTCTTCTGTGTAGTTTTGCCATCTCTTCTTAATCTCTTCTGCCTCTGTTAGGTCTCTGCCATTTTGGTCCTTTATCATGCCCATCTTTGCATGAAACGTTCCCTTCATATCTCCAATTTTCTTGAAGAGATCTCTGGTCCTCCCTATTCTGTTGTTTTCTTCTATTTCTTTGCACTGTTCATTTAAGAAGGTATTCTTATCTCTTCTAGCTATTCTCTGGAATTCTGTATTCAATTGGGTGTATCTTTCTCTTTCTCCTTTGCCTTTCGCTTCCCTTCTTTCCTCAGCTATTTGCAAAGCTTCCTCAGACAGCCATTTTGCTTTCTTGCATTTCTTTTTCTTTGGGATGGTTTTAGTTGCTACCTCTTGTACAATGTTGCGAACTTCCATCCATAGTTCTTCAGGCACTCTGTCTATCAGATCCAGTTCCTTAAATCTATTTGTCACCTCTACTGTATATTCATCAGGAATATGATTTAGTTCATACCTGAGTGGCCTAGTGCTTTTCCCTACTTTTTTCAATTTAAGCCTAAATTTTGCAACGAGAAGCTCATGATCTGAGCCACAGTCAGCTCCTGGTCTTGTTTTTACTGACTGTATAGAGCTTCTCCATCTTTGGCTGCAGAGTACATAGTCAATCTGATTTCTATGTTGACCGTCTGGTGATGTCCATGTGTAGAGCCGTCTCTTGGGTTGTTGGAAAAGAGTGTTTGTTATGACCATCGTATTCTCTTGACAAAATTCTATTAGCCTGTGCCCTGCTTCATTTTGTACTCCAAGGCCAAACTTGCCTGTTATTCCGGTTATCTTTTGGCTTCCTACCTTAGCATTCCAATCCCCCATGATGATAAGGACATCATTTTTTGGTGTTAATTCTATAAGGTCCTGTAGGGCTTCATAGAACCGGTCAATTTCATCCTCTTCAGCACCAGTGGTTGGGGCATAGATTTGGACTACTGTGATATTGAATGGTTTGCCTTGGATTCGAATTGAGATCATTCTGTCATTTTGGGGATTGTATCCCAGTATTGCTTTTCCTATTCTTTTATTGACTATGAAGGCTACTCCATTTCTTCTGAGGGATTCTTGCCCACAGTAGTATACCTGATGGTCATCTGAGTTAAATTCACCCATTCCTGTCCATTTTAGTTCGCTGATTCCTAAGATGTCGATGTTCAGTCTTGTCATCTCTTTTTTGACTACGTCTAGCTTGCCTTGATTCATGGATCTTACATTCCA